AGCAGATTGGGTGAGCCCCTCCCTTAGTCAGGGGTTCAGTATTACTAGCACCAATAAAGGAACAAACAGACATCAGCGGTCTCTCATTAAGATATGCCAAGGACACATGAGCTATGCAGCATTCCTACCAAAGCTACATAGCCTTAAACTAGGCAAGAGGGAAAATCAGATAAATCCAAAACAGGGAACATTCTAGAAAGTTGTCCTGCACTCTTCCAAATGTCAGAGTTTAAAAGAAGAAAAAAGGCAGAGAAACGGTTACAGATTAAAGCAAACTAAGCAGCTATATTAACTAAATGCAATATGTGAACCTAAATTGGATCCTGGGTTGGAAAAAAATTGCCATAAGAAAAGCCGTTATTGGGACAAGTGGCAAGATTTGAATATATAGACTGTATTATTATTGAATCGATGCACGATTATGAAATCAATGTAAAATTTTCTGAATTTGACAGGTGTATCATGGTTGTGTTCTTAGAAGATGCTCAAGTACTTGGGTATAAATGAACACAGCATCTGCAATTTACTCCCACATTTAAGTAAAAACATTAAATATGTATAAATACATTTAAGCAAAAATATTATAGAGAAAGAAAATATTGCAAAATGTTAATAAGTGGTGATTTTGGGGGAAGGATATGCTAGAATTCACAGTACTATTCTTACAATTTTTCCCTAGGTGTAAAAGTTTTTTAAAAGTAAAGTTTTAAAGAACACCTGGAAAAAAAAGAACTACTGAGATTTACAGTAAATATCATTTTTCTTTATTTTTTTCTAAATTAGAAAAGTCATACATACTCACTAAAACAGAGGAAAGTAGTAATACATACTCACTAAATTAGAGGTCTACAAATAAAGTGAAAATAAATAGTCTTCCTCTACCTTCTCATATAAGCAAAGTTAAAGAATTTGGTACATATTTTCTCCTTTTACTAAGTTCATAAAAACATATTTAATCAGGTATCAGGTCATTCTTAAAGAAATACATGAATGAGCAACAAACATATTATTAAATATTCCATTGCTTCTAAAACTCATTGGCAAAAATGACCAGTGACATATGACTGAATGTATAAATTGAAAGAAATTCCAGAGCTAATTACTTTTATCTTACCACTTAGAAAGCCAATACCTAGCAAGCCAATACCTAGTTCATAAAGTATAACAAAAATTTATGAGAGAAATGCCTATTTCCTTTCCAGTAGTTGCCAACCCCTAGCAAAACTCTTCTACATCTCAAACTCATGTTGATTCAGTAATTGTGGGGATGCACTATTGCTCTGCAGTAACTCACCATGCCTCTTTATCACTGACAATCACTAACTGAACCAAGCCCCAAAGCTGAAACAGAGTTTATGTTTTCCCTGCTTACAAGTTAATGAGTTACACCCCTGCATTTTACTATAACCCACTCAATTTCTGCACCAACGCATGACACCCAGGTTAAAAGCCTACACCAGACTTCTGGCCAAGATGGAGGTATAGGTAGATACACTTTGCCTCCTTGTATAGCCAAAAGGACAATAACAAATTTAAAACCAAAAAATAACCAGAACTGCCAGAAAATCAAAATGTATGGAAGTCCAACAACATAGGAGTTAAAGAAAAAACATTCATCCAGACCAGTAGGAGGGGCGGAGACAGGCACTGGGGCAGAGACGACTTGAAACAAGGTGGTAGCTTAAAAACTGGGCAGTCCCACATTCATGTGCAGATAAACCAGGAGGAACAACTGGGGAGCGAGACATATCATACAACCCAGGGTTCCAGCACAAAGAAATAAAGCCTCAAAACCTCTGACTGAAAACATCTGTGGGAACTGAGTTGAAGAAAGAAAAATCCCAGCTTCACAGGAGAATTTGTTGGGGAGACCCACAGGTTCCTAGAATGTACACAAACCCATCCACCTGGGAATCAGCACCAGAAGGGTCCAATTTGCTTGTGGGTAGTGGGGGAAATGACTGAAAGCTGGCCGAGAGCCAAGCAAGCAACACTATTCCCTCTCGGACCCCTCCCCCACAGACAGCACCACAAAAGTGAGTTGTTCCACCCTGGCAAATACCTAAGGCTTTGCTCCTTACTAGTAACAGGTGCACCAAGACAAAAAAATATGGCCCAAATGAAAGAACAGATCAAAGCTCAAAAAATAAAACTAATTGATAAAGACATAGCCAACAGAAAGCAGAGTTCAAAGCACTGGTAATCAGGACACTCACAGAAATGGTTGAGTGTGGTCACAGAATAGAGGAAAAAGTGAAAGCTATGCAAAATGAAATAAAGGAAAATGTGCAGGGAACCAACAGTGACAGGAAGGCAACCAGGAATTTGGAGAAGGAAGAAATAAACCTTCATCTGGAACAGAATGAAAAAACAAGAATTCGAAAAATGAGGAGATGCTTAGGAACCTATGGGACAATTTTAAATGTTCCAACATCCAAATCCTAGGGGTGCCAGATAGAGAAGAGGAAGAGCAAGACATTGAAAACTTACTTGAAAGAATAATGAAGGAAAACTTCCCTAATCTGGCAAACAGACTTACAGGAAGTCCAGAGAGTCCCAAAGAAATTGGACACAAGGAGGAACATACCAAGACACATCATAATTAGGTTACCCAAGATTAAAGATAAGGAGAGAATCTTAAAAGCAGCAAGAGAACAGGAGACAGTTACCTACAAAGGAGTGCCCATAAGACTATCAGCTAATTTCTCAAAAGAAATCTTGCAGGCAAGAAGGAGCTGGAAAGAAGTATTCAAAGTCATGAAAGGCAAGGACCTACATCCAAGATTGCTCTATCCAGCAAAGCTTTCATTTAGAATGGAAGGGCAGATATAGTGGTTCCTAGATAAGGTCAAGTTAAACGAGTTCATCATCACCAAGACCTTATTACATGAAATGTTAAAGGGCTTATCTAAGAAAAAGAAGATAAAACTATGAAGAGAAAAATGATAACAAACTCACAACTATCAACAACTGAACCTAAAAAAAACAAAAACAAAAACAAACTAAGCAAACAACTAGAACAGGAACAGATTCACAGAAATAGATCACATGAAGGGGGATCAGCATGGGAGGTTATCAGCATGGGAGGGGGAATGAATGGGGGAAAAGGCACAGGGAATAAGAAGCATAAATGGTAGGTACAAAATAGACAGGGGGAGGTTAAGAACAGTATAGGAAATAGAGAAGCCAAAGAGCTTATATGTATGAACCATGGACATGAACTAAGTGGGGGGGATGCTAAAGGGTGAAAGGGCAGTGCAGGGTAGAAGGGAATAAAGAGGAAAACAAATGGGACAACTGTAATAGCATAATCAACAAAATGTATTAAAAATAAAAACCTACACCAGAGAAGCGCCTGGTACTTATCAGCTCCTATTTCACACCCCATCCTCTGTGCTCTCCTGCGTCATTTTCTGGCTCTTTTAAAATAGTCAAAAGGTATTAAGTATGGGTGGCGGTGGAGAGAATGGGTGCCAATTATTGTTTTTCTATCAAAATGTGTTTCATATCTCATAAAGTCTCACATCCAACACTCATACAAAGGCAAGTTCATTGTACTGAAGTTGCACGACCTAATGTAAAAAAATATCAGCCCACTTACATACTTCCTTGACTAAAATTTGATGGAGCTGGCTCATTGTCTGTTCTTTGCCATGTCAACCAGAGGTTTCAGAGTTTCAAAAATGAAGAACAGGGGACGTGGTCTCCTGGGTCTCACGCGGCCCTCCTGGGGGCGGCCCCATACATTTTTCACAGCTCTACCTCCCACCCTACAAAAAAGGTATAGATAATGCTTCTTATAAAGGCTTTAGGAGTTCACTAGATAAAAGAAGTTAGGTTCAGTCCAGAGAAAGAAATGGCTTTATTATTGGGCTACTATTTAAAAACTTGTTGATGGGGAAAGGAAGAGGAGGAAACTTGTTCTACACGGGGCCCTTCCCGTTTTGTGCACACATTCGCTTTAAAGGCTGTCACCGCCTGAGCTGGAGACACCCCAGGGCAGGCCTCTCTCAGTCCTCTGACCCCCTTCAGCTATCGGAAACCCTGCTGGGGGCCGCACAGGCATGCAGCACTGCCGGGAGAGCCCCGCTGCCCCATGCCGCCTTTTGGGTTGCCCTCTCTAATATCAACGGCCACAGTTCACCAGCAGCAAGTAATGGCGGGGGGGGGGGAATAAAATCATTCAGGGAGATTAAAAGATATTTACAGAAAAGTTCACTTTAAAAAGATACTGAAAAGAATCGTAACTAGCCAAAATAGAACTAGTAGAAGTAGAAATAGAAAAATAGAAATGACCAAAACAAGCTCCAGAGGGTCAGCTGTACAATCTGCTTTGCTCTCAAGAAGCCGAGCTGAACGTGGGGGTGATGTTGTATCACGTTCCTGAGCACTATGAAGGGCCCATGTGTTCTGAGCTGCACTACGACCTGCACGTATCCCAGACTCTGAAAGCCTTTTCTGGTTTTATAAGTAGGGCAGCTCTGCCTGGCACCTGCTAATTTTTTAGAAAACAAAGTCCATGACCTCTGGCTTCAGGCAGAGGTGAAATCCAAAACACTGGTAGTGCTTACATTTCAGTAGGATATGCTGTTCATTTTTTAAAAGGAAACTCCCAAAGGCCACAAATTCACGGACAGAAAATGGAAAGGGGATGAAAACTTGACACGTTACTCTTTACTGACCCCTCTTGGCTGATCCAGGGAAAAGAAAAGGTCTGAAATCTTGCCTCTCCTCCAGGAGAGTTCAGAGAACATTCGGTCTTTCACGCCATGGAAAGAAATCCTCTCAGTTCAGATGACCCCTAGCAGAACTCAAGCCTAAAGCACATGCAGCAATAATTTCTATTTATGGGGCTCCCAGAATGGAAATTGGGAAACGGCCTTGCGGATCAGCCCCAAAGACTTTTGCTAGGTCCCTGGCAGCCTGTGACCTCTGACTCTAGCTGAAAAACTTACATAAATGCCACTGTGACCACTTCTGATAGCAAGAAAAGACCTTACCTCTTTCTCTATTTTGAGTAGCTTCTTCACAGCCACCTCCTTGTCCTGTGATATCCATTTGGCTCGATAAACACTCCCAAAACTTCCTCCGCCGCAGTTTTCAAAAAACTGCAAGTCATCAAATTTAATTTGCACAAAGGAGGGACCGAGAGACGACATCTCATAATGACAAAGTATTATACTTCCACAAACTCTGCAGAGAAAGAAAAAAGAAAAGTTGGATTACAAATACATTAGAATGAATCCTCTGAATCCCACTTTAGATAATAAGTCCCGTGAAACTTCCAGAAAGAATCTTGGATGACTCAGGAGAAGGAAAACCAGGACTATAAACAAATCAAAATGAAAACACTTACTCTGGCAGCCCGTGCAAAATTCAACAGCAACTTGCCCAGACTCTGCAACCCAGCTGTCCACAGAGAAATGGCTCAGATTTCCCCCCCGACAAAACCTGCGGCCGCACTTCCTGCACATCCCAGGAGCTCTGCCGAAAGGCTACTGTGTCACCAGGTCTCCTATCACGCCCTGACAAACGGGAAGCATGCTTTCCCCAGCATGCTTGCATCGCTCTCCTGGTATGTGAGGCATGCCGTCTCTCCACGTTGCGCTCACTTCACACAAAATATATATGGCCTAAGCAACTGAGCATCCCGGCCCACGGAGAGCCACAGTGCTGCAAAATGAGCACACATTCAATGCTTAGATTCCAAAAGCAAAAACATTCAGCTTAGGGATGATAGAAAAGCTGTCCAAGTGTTTTCCCGAGTGGTTCCCTGGACTATACACTGTAGCAGAAAGTTAATTAAGCAGTAGAAGATTTGCCCTTGATTACAGTATATTAAGTCATCCAAAGACCTCTGCCAAGAATGTTAAAAAAATATTATGCCTGTTTCCAGAGGAACAGATTTCCCCTCCCAGAGATCATTAGAGTGGCATTTTTCTTCAGTCTAAGGTGTTTGCCATTCACCAGGTAAGTGTTCGCCCTTCACACCCCATGCCAAACTATAGATTAGCAGGGAAAACAAAACACTAAAAATTTTGAACTGCATAACAAGCAGGTGGATACCCGAGTTCATATGCGCATGCTTGCCAAAACTGTAAACCAGAATGGCATAACGAGGGAGCAGAAAGACAAATTCGCATGTGCAGAGTGTTCTACAAAACCACGGGCCTGGGCTCCTCATGGTTGTCAATGGCACGAAAGAGGCTTTTTTTAAAAGCCGGGAAGCTTGTGGCATAAAGAGGGTTAAAAAGATGGTGACTAAATGCAATGCATGATCACTGGATTCTGGATCAAAAAAAATCTACAGAAACTACTATGGGGATTTTAGGGAAATCTGAATGATCAACTCTATATTAGATAATATTAAATTATCTATGGCAAATAATGGTATTTTAGTTTTGTATGAGGATGTCCTTGTTCTTGGGAGATATACTGGGAGATGTATTAAAGTGTGATATCTACGGCTTAATTTAAAATGATTCAGCTTCTCCCCACTCTCAAAAAAAGAGTGAACATACACAGAGAGGAAGTAAACGTGGCAAAGTGCTAAGGGCCGGCAAATCTAGGTGGAAATTCACGGGCATTTTACTACTCTTGTCATTTTTCTGTGGGATTTGATTGTTTTCAAAATAAAAAGGTGGAAGGGGCAGTTTGTATCTATACAAATTGACAAAATGTATTTATAGACAACTTGTCTGAGTGATGTAAACAGTCAGCTCCGAGATGTTCACGTGCAGCTGACGAGCAATCCCATTTTGGGAACGTCGGGTCACTGAAGAACCTGACTTCTCCTGGGAAGTGCAGCTCTGCTCGGCTTTGGGAACAAGGTGGGAGAGAAGGCTGTTTGTCCTCTGAAGTCGAAAAGGTAACTTGGAGTCTCCATAAAAATACAGTAAAAAAAAAAACAACTACAGTATCTAGGTATAGTCTAGACACACATTTTGAGTGAATAATTTACCTTTACTAAATTTTGCTTCAATTTGTATTTAGTTAATCATAGAAAAGAACAAAACATGGATAAAATTTAGGAGTGTGCCAAAGGCAGGTACACAAAATATTCAAATTAAAAAGTTTGTGCAACAAAATACAAAACGCCATTTGCAAGATTCCCTCAGTGTTACAGATACTTGTTCAATACTTTTATCAAAGTCTAAAAAATAAAATAGAACTACAAAGCTAATAGCAAAATTAGAACTGCCTCCACTTAATTCTCTCTACAGAAGGAACTAATTTCAACTCCTTTAGCATTTTCTTCTGGTATTTACCTCCGGATTTCTTTCTTTCTTTCTTTAAATCCTCACCTGAGAATACGTCTAGTGATTTAAGAGAGGAAGAGGGAGAATGAGAGAGAAAGAAACATCAAATCAGTTGCCTCTGGTATGTGCCCTCACCAGGAATCGAACCCACACCTTTTGGTGCCTAGGAGGACACTCCCACCAAAGGAGCACCTGGCCAGGGCTTACCTCTGTATGTCTAAAAAAATGTGTTTATATTGTTATTTATTGGTTGTTCCATTATAGATACAATCTATTACGTTCCCCCTGGGGAAGACAAGGATTTAGTTCTCATATACCACCCTTAACCTCTGTGCATACAACCCGTCACACCTGCCGAATCCTCCCAGCTTCCAACCACGTCTCTCTCGAGGCCTGACTTGGACGGAGACGTCCCTTCACCACCATCCAAGGAATTTCCTGTGCGTTCCCCTCTGTGGGAACCCCTGCCCTTGGACCTCCTGGCTTCTCTTTTCCAGTTTACCTTCTTGTTTTGAGAGTGCATGTCTCCCTTTAGCTACCTAACAGAGTGCCCCGAATGTAATTTTTTTTGAGAATCTGTGTCTTCAAATGCCGACTGGTAGCCTGGCTGGGTATGTAATTCTAAGTAGGGAATCATTTTTCTTATAATTTCGGAAGTATTACTTCATAGCCTAGTTTCTAATGTGGCTATAGAGCAGACTGATGCTGCTCTGATTACTAATCCTTTTTACATATCTTTTCCTTTCTGAAAGCTTCTAGGATCTTGTATTCATCGCTGGAATCCTGAAATGAACAGCATCTGCTTAGGGGTGAGTCGTTGGCATTCACTGGTGGTACCCTCAGTGAATTCTGTCTGTAACTCACATCTTTTAACTCTAGGCCATTTTCTTGTGCTCTTTCTTTACCACTGACAGCTGCTTTCACTTCTTGTCTTCCCATCCCCCCCACCCCCCCCACCCCACACACAGGAGGAACCTCGCAGTCCCCAGTACACGCCACTCTCTCTCCTATCTCCATACCTTTGCACCTTGTGTCTTTGCTTAGAAAAGCTCCTGTTTTATTAAAATAAACTCCTGCCCACAACCAGCTCCTTTTTTTAAATCCTCACCTGAGAACATTTTTTTCACTGCTTTTAAAGGCAGAAGAAGAGAAGAGAGAGAAACATTGATATGAGAGAGAAACATCAATTGGTTGCCTTCTTGGGTGTGCCCTGACCTGGGATAGAATCCAAAACCTGGGTACGTGCCCTGGCCTGCAATCAAACCCACAACCTTTCGGTACACAGGACAACACTCCAAGTGACTAAGCCACACTGGCCAGGGCCACCACTAGCTCCTTTGAGTCTCATGAGTAGAGTTAAATTTTCCTTCTTCTGTGCCCTAACACCTTTCTTCCCGCATTCATCTTTCCCCCGGAGCTCCCACCAGACTGTAAGTTCCCCAAAGGAAAAAGCCATTCCGATTTACATCTGGATCTTCAGTATCCAGTACACAGCCAGGCACATGCACCTTTTCCATTCAAAAATATTTGTTGAATGAATGAATGAACAAGTAAATAAATAAATAAATAGTTTCTGGCTATTCTTCCATTATACCTTTTGCAACTGCAAAGATTCTAACCAGATTAAGTACAATCTGAGACCCATTGTATTTACAAGTCTCCCCACCTTCCCCCAAAGGATTCTGAAGCAAATCTTGATTTGGAAAGTGCTGCCTAGGCTTCTTGGGAGACTGAAAGAGTATATGCTTTGGGACCTTCAGAATTGGGTGTCTCTGAGTCCAAAGAGGAAGAAGGAAAAAGAGGGGGAGAGGAAGGAAAATCTTTTTTAAAAATAAATGTAGAGATCTGAACCAAGAGGAGATCAATAGGAATAAACGTAAACCCTCTGGTGCAGAGCGGGTCCAGGGAACATGGGTGCACTGAGGTAGGTCGGTGGCATCTGAAACCGACCTAAGGGTGCCAGAGAAAGGCGGGCCTCTGAGACGCACAGACATCCACGATGTTTACCCTTTGAGACTGGGCAACTAGTCATGTTCTCCCCAGAATCACTACTACTCATTTTGTGATACATCCTGCCATTTGGAAACTCGCTATGTGATTATGTGAAGTTTTGTTAAGACCATACAAAACAAAGTCCCTACTGATGACCAAAGAGACACAATGCTGGGGGGTGGTCCGCGAGGACAGGTTTGAACTCCAGTGAGCTGGGCAGAGCAGCGTGGGTCTGGCTGTGAAGCCTGACTGAGACTCCCTCTGCTGTCTGCGAGTGTGGGACCACATATATTTTTTTCCCTACAGCTTTCTCTCCTTTCACTTTAAAATCACTGTTCTAAGAGGGTCAACTTGTGACCAGAAAAATGAAAAATCTGAGTTGCTGATTAATCATATTTACAGCACCTTGGGGAAGACTGCTACCTAATCAAATTATGTTCTTATTTTTCTGAGGTATTCTCCAGTAAATGCACCAGAACTTAATAATAAGCATCATCTATTTAAATGTATTTACACAGAATATGCGCTCATATGAAGTCTTCATCCCTCCATGTTAAAATAAATGCTTTTACACAAGAAAGGCAATTTTTCTCCAAGCAACGATTCCCAGTTTGAATTTTATAGCATTCTAACTTTTGTTTCATAGACTCTCAAAGTTATTTTAAATATTAATAAGTCTCTACCACACTGCACTGAGGGGGATGTCACCAAAATCAAAACCTAGCAGAGGGTCACAACTGTCACAATGCAGAAAACCACTAACTCAGTGGTGCAGCTGATCATTTGAGGACTGCAGTAAGACAATGTTCTTTAATTTTAAAGTTTTCCTTAAATTAAAATTTTAAAAACTTAAACTATTAACTGAATTGCTGAATGCACACACACGCACACACGCACACAGCACCATTGGCTAATTATTAAAAATAGAACCACTTGAAGGCA